AGCAGATCACTCCTGCCAACCTGGAGGAGGTGACATTCGTAAATAAACTGTGAAATCTTAAAGTCCTAGAGCAACACTGGGGAGGAAGAGGGAGACAGGTGGCCACCCTAAGGCCCTGCTCTAAGTCACTGCAGGTGCTCAAGGAGCTGCCGCTGCCACCTGTCTAGTCTCCCCAGTTCCTGCGAGCCAGTGCTAGCTAGCGTTCTCACGCTGGATGGCAGGGATGTGACAGTCAAACCGCTGGGGAGTTTGCCCAAAGCCAAGGAAGTTCTAAAATGAAGTGGTCAGTCCTCAAACTGCAGCCTGGATGGCAGAGTCCAGAGTGGCCAGCACCGAGGGTGGCCACTATCCCCTGATGCAGAGCTGTCCACTGATGGCCCAGAAGCACAGCAGAATGCATGTGCCCCCCACCCAGATCAGCCACCCACCGGATGCCTGCCTCTGACCCCATCCTAGGCTCGTTCTTCTCTAGTTTGTCCCCTTCAGAACGGTGCTGGCACCCCACTTATAGGAAAGATCCAGACTAGGCAAATGCAGAGAGACCAAAGTAGATTAATGGTTGCCAGGGAATGGCGGGAGGGGCAATGGGGAGTTACTGCTTATGGGATGCTGAGTTTCTGTTTGGGGCAGTGAACAACTTTTGGAGATAGTGGTGATGGCTGTACAACATGGCAAATGTAATTAATGTCACTGAACTGTACACTTAAAATGATTTCAATGGCATATTTTATGTTATCGTCAACCCTGCTTGCTGTGCCAAGCTGCCCAAGGTCTGAGGTTGCCAAGAAATACACAACTCGCACATAGGCACTGGGTGGAACAATGCTTTGCTCACACAGGGACAGAGCAAGGTCAGCTTCAGGAGTGGGCATCGGTTCCCACAGCCATCAGGTCACTCCCTGCAGCAGCCGATGCAGGAGGTGGTCTGCACGTGCCTCTCTTGGGCTGCAGGTAAGAGACCCCGTTCCCTCCCCACCAGGAAGAGATACACTAGTGGGGTTGGCCAGGTGCCGCGTGACCCGCCTGCATAAGCAATAAGCAGACTGTGTACCCAGAAGAGGGAAGGAGTTTCCCCGATAAGGAAGATGAAGAAATTGGGACAGAGGGAGGCTCAGTTCCCAGCCTTCATTATCAGGAAATGTTCCTGCCCCAAGACTTCTGATCAGGCGGGCTGGGTGAGGATTATGAGGTTATATGACACCTATTTTCCCAACAGTTACATATATTTTACACTAAAACTGGCAGGGGGAACAGCAGCCCCGGTGGTCCTCAGGGAAATGTCAGGTGAGTCTAGTCATGTCTAGAGAACAAATGGGCATCCACTCTTGCCTGGATGGCCTCTTCCCCTTCCCTTCCCTCTGCTGCTCCCTCCAGAGTGTGCCTGACCTGCCTGTTGACACCTGAGATTTCAGAGCCAGATTCTTTCTCTGACCCCTCACCCTGGTCAGGCCTGAGGGCCACCGAGACCCTCTGCTTTGACACATTCACTGACTCAGGCGGCTCCAGGACTGGGGACGGGCCAAGCAGGTTTGATACGAGGTGCCTGCAGAGATGAGGGTGCAGCTGGCCTGCCCGGGGCCCATCAGGTTCCCAGTGCCCGGAGTTGGGGTGGTGGTGGCCGCACCGTCCCCCCACACCAGTCACTGGCACGCATGTCCCCTTCCCCTCCTCCAGGGCTCGGTTTCTGGGAGGAAGGCACAACTGTGTCACTGTGTCCCCGAGGCCATGAGCACAGGGCCCAGCATGTCGGGGAACTCAGGCCACATCCAACCAACAGGTGGACATGCTCCCACCTGGGGTCTTCAGAGGTGCTCATTTGAGACTGTTGGCTCAGTCATGCTCAGAAAGGGGCAGCCATCTGGAAACTCAGACAGGTGGACTTGTACGTCACACCTACACCAACAAACGTCCCCAGGGTAAGACTTAGAGGTATGGCCAAAATCCTTAAAGTGTTAGAAAAGACATGGGCAACACACCTTCCCCATTCTGGAGTGAGGAGGCCAAACCCAACCCAAAAAGCCGTAAAGGGAAAGACTGACGTATTTGACTGCATACAGATCCGAAGTTTCTGCAAGGCGACAGGTACCAGAAGCCAAAGACACACAACACACCAGGGGCCCTGGGTAGGAGGAGCAGCTTGCACTGTCCTAGAGGCCCACAGGGACCACAGACAAGAATTCGGACGAGACTGCACTCGTCCTTCAGCCCCACGTCCTCCTGGGTGAACATGGAGCTGGGTGGGAGGTAGGGATGGATCCTGCACCCACCTTCAAATCCTTCCCAACTCTGCTCCTCTCTTTAGTCCTCCCTCCCTCCCTCTCTCACACACAGCCAGCCGGACAGCACACTACTAGGATTAGGATTTTTTTCTTCTTGCTGATTTGTTGGAGAAATAAATCTGTGAATTATCACTGGGCAAGTGCTGCCATTGTGTCCAGAGCTGGACTTGACCATGGAGTAGATCAGGACTACTTTTGCCTCACGAGCTGCACTCATCAGTTTCCAAGACGGCCCCCAGGGTGATCCCTGCGGCATCCCGGTACTGGCACCTGTGTGGGCTCCTCCCACACTGATGTAGGGCTGGTCTGGGTGACCAGTGGAATATGACAGAAGTGAAGGAGTGTGACTTCTGAGGTTAGGTCATCACAGGAACAGCAGCTCCTGCCTTGGTCCCTCTGACTGCTTGCTAGATGGGAAGCTGGCTGCCATGTTGTGAGGACACTCAAGCAGCCCTGTGGAGAAGCTGCAAGGAGAACCGAGGCCTCCTGCCGACAGGCAGCACTGACTTGCCAGCCAGTGAGACAGCTTGAAGCAGATCCTCCCGCTCCAGGCGAGTCTTCAGATGGCTGCAGCTTGGTAAGAAACCCCAAGCCAGGGCTGCCCCCGAACCCTGACCCCCTGGAAGTGTGACACACACACCCCCATCTCCACCGCCTACACCCAAACCTTTCTCGAGAACCCTGGTTTTTCCTCCCAGTGGCCCTGAGAGGCCCAGGCTGTTCCTGGGGACCAGGGCCACACACAGATCCAGAACTGGGGGGAGCACACTGGGGACAAACACCTCCTGGTAACCTTGGGAACAAGGCCCCAGGCCCAGCGCTCTCCTGAGCAAGCTGTCTCACGATAACACCCCTCCCCCACCCCTTTGATGTCTGCTCTTGAAACTCACTCAGGGAGTCAGCCTCCCAGCCTGCCCAGAGCCGTGAGCTGGTTTCCCAGCAGCGGCCAAGGCCAGCACCTCACAGAGGCCAAGGTCCAGCTCTGTCGGCCCGCCCCTCAGTTCCTAGGCGTTCATCATTCCACCCTCTTCCCCTTGCTCACACGCCAGACCAGGGGCCCAGAGGTCAACGTTTATCCAGAAAGTCTAACTGCCACCCCATCCCAACTCACCTTCTCTCCACGTGATCATGCTAGCAACACCATCAAGAAATTAAACACAAGGAACGCCAGGTGTACTAACCAAAAGCTTGTATTGAACCATCTCACTGCCAAGAGTTAAAAATTAAGGCACTCCAAAGGTTACAGATTTCTGAGGTTACAGTTTGCAGCTGCTCCAGAAAAAGGGCGTGGACTAGACCGCCGCGCAGAGGCGGTGGCTTGGGATCCCGTGCTGCACGACGGATCAGGTGCGCTCCATTTAACCATCGGGCGCTCCACAGGCAGCTCGGCAACCTCCACTCCGGGAACAGTGTGATTTACATCCATCCTACCGGACTAATACAGAGTGTGCTAAAGGCTACTAATGTTCCTTTTATGAAGAGAGTAGAAAGTACAAATTTGAAGCCTGCTATAAAATACTTAGGAATGTTTCATGATACTTTAAATTGGTATCAAATGCCCAAGAAGTCCGAGAAATGAAGAGCAAAGAAATCTGTTAAAGGATCTTAGTGTGTAACACTCAGAGTAGAAATGTTAACTCATGGTACGGACATTCCATGGATAAAAAGGCCTACCATGAGGTGTGCTGATTAAAGTGTTGGGCTCACTGTTCTCCATTTGATGCCACAGCGTTTCCCCCAGAGCATAATGCTGAGCAGGAAAACGGAAAATCCCACTTACTCTATATGCCTACAGACTGATTGGTTCTTCCAAAGCTAAGTGTCTACCTCAGAGCAACGTGGCAGCTGGCGCTGTTTTAAAGTTACTTTTAAGAAAGGCTTTGCACCCAGCAACCTCGAGCTTGCCACGAAGCACCTGTCTGGGTACAGAAGCCACACGCCTCAATGTAAAGCATACAGCATGCAGTGGGGATGCCGGAGGTTCCACGGACAGACTTACTCAGAAGCCGATGCTAAAAGCAATTCTCAGAAGTGAGGCTCGAAGCTTGGAATCATCTGGAAAGCAGGACTGTGGTTAGTGTCTGCTGTGTAGTGTGTGGCCCTTGGACAGAGCTGCGTCCTGGTGAGGGGCTGGCCTGTGACATGGCACCTGAGACCCCTGCACTCCCACCTCCCAGCCCCTGGATGTGCAGGAGGAGGTGAGGCTCAGCCGAGAGGACCTCAGAGCAGGGTGGCTGCACCGAGCTCCCACACCTGTCGGCAGGGGTGACAGGACCTGAGAGCAGGGTGGCTGCACAGAGCTGGCACACCTGTCGGCGGGGGTGACAGGACCTGAGAGCAGGGTGGCTGCACAGAGCTGGCACACCTGTCGGCGGGGGTGACAGGACCTGAGAGCAGGGTGGCTGCACAGAGCTGGCACACCTGTCGGCGGGGGTGACAGGACCTGAGAGCAGGCTGGCTGCAGAGCTGGCACACCTGTCGGCGGGGGTGACAGGACCTCAGAGCAGGGTGGCTGCAGAGCTGGCACACCCGTCGACGGGTGACAGGATGAGGCAGGGAGCCGCTGTTCTCAAGCCCCACCAGCGCACAGTAATAGCCAGCTGCCGCCCTCAGAGAGCGCGTTCTAACCGCATTGATAACAAGTTCCTACTGAAAGAAAATCCTGATAGTCTACTAAAGACGTAAAGTGAGAAAGCAACCAAGAAGGGATCTGAACTCTTACATCTAAGTTTTTTGGTGAAATCTTTTAGGTGTGCAAAAAAAAAAAAAACTTCCAAGAAAAAAAGTGTCAATTGATTTTAACCATTCCTTGATGCTATTCAACATAGCCGAAGTTAGGAAGAACATCTTGATCAGAGGTGAGGCGGGTCCTGGGCTGTAACAAAGTCCAGGCAGAACAAACACGTGTCCGGACCGTGAGCAGACAGAGAAGCTGCCGGCCTGGCGTGGGAGAAGCAGCGGGCGACTGCTGCGTTCTCCTCGTGGCTGGGGTAGAAGACCATCCTCCCCCCTGCCGTCCGAAGCTGCCTGGGGCAGAGAGGAGTGAGAATTCTGCGCTGCGACAAGGAGAAGGAGCAGGTGTTGGTGCTGCGGGCCCGCTCAGCCGACACTCACTGAGGGCTCAGGAGTGGGGCCTGCAGGCTTCCTCAGGCAGAAAACATCGTGCTTAGTGTGTCGGGGGCCAGACAGAGAGATACAGGGGAGAGGAGTGGGCGCTCAGTCCGCAGGGGGGGCCGGGATTGTCCTCGGGGCGGCCTTGCTGGCCGACCCCTCCTGGGGTGCGGGGTGGTAGAGGGTGGCAGGTTCTGTTGCTGAGCTGCTGGGAGGCGCGGCCCACCTCGCCAGGAAGCTCTGGGATTGCTGGCAAGTTGCGGACTGTGTTTAGTTGTTTTCAAACCGGGCGTACGGGTTTTCTTCTTTAAACAAACCTGGAAACAACATGAACTTGCATTATAAACTCACTCATCCAATGGGAAAGAAAATTCAAGAAAGCCATGGAAATGAGTTGGATACGAAGATTTCTGGAGGCCATAGGAAAAACTGATGTTTCAAGCAGGCTCAAATGCTGTGCTTCACGATTTTTTTTACCATGAAAGCAAAGTATACTTCAAAAGTTAAATAAAATTTATCGGAAACAAGAATTCAAACGGATCCTAAGAAAAGACTTATTTGCTGATTCTCTCAAGGTAGAATTAAATTTATAGTCAATATTTCTCTCCACAGTGGCTGGCTACTAATATACACCCCCCCAAAAAAATACCAATTTAAAATATCCTTATAATTGGTGATTAACTTTTAGAATTGAGGCTACAAAAGAACAATTCAACTCTCAATATTATGCTATATAACAGGAAAAAAACTTGTATCCAGCCATAAAAATAAATAAATCTAGGTACTTACCCCAGAGTTGGCGTTTTCTCTTGGCGCACACACGCACGCACACCTGTATTGTACACCAAAAACCTCTGGGGCTGCTGCAAGGAATCCACTTACTGAAGGGCGGGTTTTTGTTTTTGTTTGTGGGGGAGAGGATGAGTAGCAGCTCTCCTCAGCTGCTGCCCAGGCACCTGACGCCTAGCGGGAGCAGCACACCCCCAAGGTCGGCACATTTAGCTAAGACCCCAGCCTTGCAGTTCCTGCTGTTAGCTTCCTGTCTTGCTTTCCTGGTTTACTTTTCAAAGTACCACTTAGAACTAAGCCCACATAAGCTAGTGACCACCACCCTAGACACCCTTTAAGTATCAGGTGTTTGCTGCCTCTCTCTCTCTGCCTCGTAACCTGGGACAGACAAAGGCCCTCCGGGCTCGCGCGCTCTCTGTCTGAGGACCTGTGAGTAACAGACCTTGTTTTGCTGCCTCTGTGTGCCCGTACTGAAACTGTGCCTTCAGTCAAACAACACAGGTTATTCAGGGCACTTACAGCCCACGTGCAGGGGTCCCACCCGCTGACCCCCACGGGGTGGCTGCACGCCTCCTTCTTCAGCAGGCCCTCGTGTACTCAGTTCCGTCCCTAATCCACTAATTAATAACATGGGGGGGGTGACAAGGGCAGAGGGCAAAGGAGGCAGGGAGACGCAGGGCGGGCGCTTGGTGGCTGGTATCACTGTCTGTCAGCCGAGTACCGTGAGCTCCGGCCCACTTCTGTAGGCAGCGAGCAAACACCAACACACACCGTTCTGTCAAGGTCTTGTGAAGAGACGGCTCCTAGCTCTACTTCTAGCTTACAGGGGAAGGAAAGCTAACCAGCCCTGGTGGCGCAGTGGTTAAGGCTCAGACTGTTCACCAAAAGATCAGCAGTTCAAATCCACCAGCCGCTCCTTGGAAACCCTATGGGGCGGTTCTACTCTGTCTGATAGGGTTGCTATGAGTCGGAAGGGATTTTTGGTTTGGTTTTGTGAGGAGGAAAGGTTCTGTGTGAGCACCACAAGCTGGGATTCTAGCTGTCAGCTGAAGCATGTTAGCGTGTGTGCCTGCTCCACTCCTCCCGGGGGACTCCGGGAGCTCCCCCACTGACTGCACTTTGCAGAGCCCGGGGCACTCCATGGACTTCAACTTTCTGTGCCGTTTATACTGATTTCATGAGTGTTACTAAAGGGCCAAACTGACACCAAAATGGTAGGAATAAAGCCCTCAGTGACCTGTTCCAGGAATGCCTGACTCCGCGGGAAGTCCCTGAGCATAAGAGCACACAGGCCAGGGCAGGCCCTGCACACACGGGGCGTTCAGGAGGCACCACACCCGCTGCCGTCCAGTCAATTCCGACTCATAGTGCCAACCTTACAGGACAGAGTAGAACCGCCCCATAGGGTGTCCGAGAAGTGGCTGGTGGATTCCAACTACACAGCGGAGCTATTCCTACAGCAGCACAGCTGGATGACGACACCACGCTGCTCTCTTACTGACGTTACTGCTAACAGGATGCAAAAAACATCTGGAAGAACAGCTTGGTTTTGACTCTTTTCAACTCCACAGAAACCCATCTGCGCACAGGCGGGGGGTGGGCAGGCACCAAGAGCCGGGAGGGCGGAGGGAGGCGGCCGCCGGAGGGCTACTGGCTCCCGGACTTCAGCAGGGGCCCGGCCACCGCACACGCACACACCCAGACAGACATGCACAGACACGCACACACGCACACACAGACACACAGACAGACACAGACAGAGAAATCTGGGTAACAAAGGACGGGGTGGGAGGAAGGAGGTCAGTGCTACAAGAAGGAAGTGCAAAGATGAACAGCCGTGAACGGACAGTTTCTTCATTAATAAGGATGACCCCAGAGCTGGTTCCTAGGAGGCGGAGGTTAAAGACGTCCCAAACGTCCAGCCCTCCCAAGCTGCTGCACCACTCCGTCGTCTCTAGCACCAGCTCTTCTCCCCACCTCAGCACTCCCTGTCTTGTCTTTGGGGTCTGTAATTTGCTGCGACGTCTCACAGAACTCACGAACTGTACTTACAGTTAAGTGGTTTACTGGGGCAGTGATGGGTTACAGCTCAGGGTCAGGATCACCTCGGAAGTAACCGCATACGACTTGGAAGACAGGATGCAGTTCTTCCATCAGAACAACTTCCAAGGAAACGGCTCTCAGCTCCTCCTCAGCCACGCCCACAGCCGGCCCTTGGCTCAGGCCTGCTGTCACTGGGCTGCGCCGCCGCCCCGCTGCCCCGCCACTGCCCCGCCACTGCCCCGCCGCTCCTCCGCCGCTCCTCAAGGCCCTCGGTGTTACACCTCCTTCTCCTCTCTCTCTCTCTCCGTGGCTCTCTCTCCCCCCACAAAACCTCTGTCAGGTAAACTGTTATACAGCAAGCTCCTTATCAATTTCAAGGTGTGCCTCCCACCACAAGACCAGCAATGAACCAATCCCCTAGGTAGGCCACAGGAACCTTATTTGCACAGTCACTGTCCATTCCCTGAAACAATTTTACACACCTTATTTGCATAGTCCCAGCCAATCATTCCATGGGAGTCACAAGACCATGGCTGGAAAGGCCATACAGAAAGAGAACCCCACTGCCCTGCAGCTGGCAAGGAGTGGAGCGGGCAAGGCCATGGCTCCCACTCAGACGCAAATGCCACCACAGCCACAGTTAGCGGTGCTGAGTGGCGAATCCGTGAGAAACAGGCTCTGTCCACAGCTGCACACCACGCCTCAAACGTGGGTGAGGAGAGCAGTGGGTGAGGGGCAGAACCTCACGCCAGAACCAGCACCCGCCCGCCCGTGAGCACGCGCTGCCTCGTGCCCAGAGCTAACCTCTGTGGGCCTGCCAGGGTACAGATGGCCTGCACGGCCGTGACTCGGCGGACGGCCACTGGACGCGGTACACAGCCCAGGGCGGCAGGGCTCCCGCAGCCCCACTCAGAGGGAGACCCAGTCCCTGGTACTTAGTATCCCCAGAACCCGACACCTGCAGCAGCTGCTGACTGCTTCCTGGGGCCTCAGGGTATTACCTAACCGCTTCTCCCCAGATGACCGCAAAAACTCAGTGACTTAACCATGTCCCTGGTAGGCAGGGTCCTGAAACACAGCTGACATAGCGTAGTTCCTTATACAAACAGAGGACTTCCCAGAAAGGACACTCCACAAGAGATTCTGAAATCTCCCTGGTCAGCTGTAGCCTCCGAGACAGCTGTCTGCCCACCGGACCACGTGGGAGTCACACACGGTGCCGGGGCCTCACGGTTGCAGGCGCTTCAAAGCCAGCACGGCGGGCTCAGAACCGGAGGTGCCACTGAGGCAGCTGCGGCCACGTCACCTGAGGCCCCGTGGTCAGCAGGCACCTTGTTTTGGACAGGTGGAGGGAGGCAGTCTCCCCCATCCCCAGGAACGCCGAACCACTGCCGAACGCAGAGCAGACAGCTCTGATGGTGTTCGTAGACTTAAAACCAGCAGAGGCCGACTGACACAGGAGCAGTATTAACACTTTCAAAGACTGAGAAAAACAAAATCCGTCGTGCAGATGAACGGAGTTTAAAACTGAAACAGTTGTTGTTGGCTGCGCCAAGTTGGCTCCAATTTCCGGTGACCTTCTGCGCAGCAGAACAGACACTGCCTGGTCCGTGCCGCCTTCGCGATCTTGCAAATACCTGGACGTGTTGTTGCGGTTACCGCTGTCGCCGACTCTGAGGGTTTCTCTCGTTCCCGCTGATTCCCTACTTTACCAAACGCAGTGTCCTTTTCTAACGACTGGTCTTTCCCGATGACATATCCAAAGTAAGCGGGACAAAGTCTCTCCATCCTTGCTTCTGAGGCACATTCCGGTTCTACTTCTCCTAAGACTGACTGGTTGGTTCTTCTGGCGGTCCATGGTATATTCAATATTCTTCACCAATACCACAGTCCAAACGCATCGATTTTTCTTTATTTTTCCTTTTTCATTGTCCAGCTTTCACATGAACGAGAGCGACTGAAAAGACTATGGCTTGGCCAGGCGCGACTTAGTCATCAAAGTGACATCTTTGCTCTTTAGAACTTTGACGAGTTCTCTTGTAGCACATTTGCCCAATGCAATACGTTGTTTGATTGTCTGACTACCATTTCCATGGAAGACGATTGTTGATCTAAGTAGAATGAAATCTTTGATAACTTCAATTTTTTCTCCATTTATCATGTTTTTTATGGGCCCAGTTGTGAGGATTTTCATTTTCTTTATGTTCAGGAGTAATCCACACTGCAGGCTGTCTTTGACCTTAATCAGTGCCTCAAATCATCTTCATTTTCAACCAGCAAGGCTGTGTCACCTGCATATCACAGGCTGTTAATGAGTCTTCCTCCAATCCTGATGGCCTTATTCATACAGTCTCACGTCTCGGATTATTTGTTCAGAACACAGATTAAATAAGTACGGTGAAAGGCTACAACACACCTCTTCAGATTCTGAACCATGCAGTACCCCCTTGTTCTGTTTGAACCACTGCCTCTTGATCCATGTACAGGTTCCACATGAGCACAATTACGTGTTCTGGAATTCCCATTCTTCACAATGTTATCCATATTTGAATAGTTACTGTTATGTAACTGAGAGATCGTGACCAATCGAGTGTGTATTTTCTGAATCGTTCCAATGAGATAAAGTGCTCCTACTTTCCCCACCGAATCTCTCCAAAGAACCAAACCGAACAAGGACACAGACCCAGAAATACGGAACGGGTGGCACGCCTTCAGTGCTGCCTCCTTCCTGGTGAGGAACGGGGTCTGCAGTGCTCACAGACGGGAATGACTGTACTGCAGAGGGACAAACACTGACGCAGGGCCGCATCAGAGAAGACAAGGACGATGCGAGCCGGGCCCCGTTTTAAGGCAAACAAGATAATACGGCAGAAAAGGAGTATAGGTGAACCATTCTGGAAGCTTCAACGCTACATTAGCCAGCAACCATCAGAGAAAGTAAGCTTCATGAAGAAGCTGGGGTAAGATAAAAATATTCTAACGTTTATTCTCTCAGACACTCAGCGGAGTGAGTTCATTTTACCACCACCTGGAATAAAGCTGGCTGCTTTTCTCAGCAGTGCCATCCTCCGCTCTGATGACGATACCCTTGGAAGGGAGCGAGCCAGCCCCACTCCAGTCAGGCCTCCTCTGCATTAACCTAGACGGCAGACAGCAACCGCTGTTCAATGGAAAAGGAGCTGTGCTCGACTCTTACCGTATTTTTTCCTGATTTCATCATGTCTTGACTTCATCTCTGCTCTCCTAAAAAATACAAAGAAATCTCCTTTAGCATCAGATTACAGTGTACGATGTAATTTCAAAAGCTACATGCTCCCACCTTCCTTGGTCAAAGAAGCTGCAGGTGTATTCCGGGGGTTGCCCAGAAGGGGACCGGATGCAGATGGGCCAGGCCAGCAGCCACAGCAGACAGGCAATGGGACAACAGGCACAGTCTCTGCAGCTGCCCTGACAGCACGTCATTGAACTATTTTCAGTAAAAGCAATTCAGAGGCCTGCTACTGGGCTTTTTAAAATTCTTTTTTCACACCAGAAAACGCACTGATCATAAAAATCTGATCACTGTGTTTAGTGCTCACGACTTGAAGGTGACTATGTGTAACATCTGTCCGGCCTCAGCACACTCCACCTGTTGAGGAGGGATAACGTCACCGGCCCTCAAGGGCTGTCCTACAGGTCCCGCCAGCACACGCGCCTGGTGGGACAGGCTGACTACGGTCAAACCCTTCCCCTCTCCCGTCAGCTTGCTCGTGACGAACGGACAGGGCGGGACTGAGGGCTTCTGAGGCCCCCGCCGCCCTGACACTCACGACGTACAGTCATTAAGCTGTGCACAGGAAGTTCCGCGAGTCAGGGCCCACAGCTGCAGCTCCTGCGTGGACTGGAGGGCACGGACACGCAAGTCGCAGCCCACAGCAGCCAAGCTAACGGCCACTTCCTAGGTCCCCGCCACGCAGTGTCTCTCTCTTCACGCTGCGCCTCACAAAACCCCACGGGCCCTGAGTACATTCTTCATTTTTAAAACAGAGACAACCTGAGATTGTGAACTTTACTTCCCGCTGCCTTCCCGGCCGGGCCCCCCACGCTCACCGTTCCTCCTGGCGGACCCTGCGCTCCTCGCGCTCCCGCATAGCCTTCTCCTCGCTCTTGTCGGGCTTGCGGCTCCTCTTCCGTCTGCAGCAGCAGCAGCAGCAGATGGCCACGCCGAGGAGGATGGCGCCTCCCACCACCGACATGGTGATGATCAGCGCCTCAAAGTTCACTGGTAAATACAAGCGCCATGTGAGAATTGCCTCAGTTACGGAACCCACTACTAGAAGCCGCATTTCCCCGCCGTGGCGAGTGATCTGAGCACGCAGGAGCAGGAGTGGGAAACCCGCCTGGGCCGGGCCGCTGGACCACACGTGCGCCGTGACTGGTCTGACAGCTGGAACTCCAGCCCGCGGCTGCTGTTAGCCACGCCTCTGTGACCTGTAACCTGTTAGTGCCGATACTGAAAAGATGTTCAAGTTGGGAAAAATTTGGCAAACACCAGAGAGGAAACAGAGAATATCAAGTGGTGCATTTAGACTCTCCTAGGACATCTGGAGTCCTGGTGGTGCAGTGGTTAAGAGCTCGGCTGTTAATCCAAAGGTTCGGCAGCTGCCCCTTGGAAACCCTATGGGGCAGCTCTACTCTGTCCTATAGGGTCGCTACGAGTCAGAACTGACTCGACGCCAACAGGTAGGTCACGTTCAACTCTTATTTTCTTGGAACTCACAGAAATGGAAATTAAGTCCAATGCAGCTTATTTTACTGTTTAAGTCAAAGTCAAAAGTATTTACTTCCAAGAGAAATAAACATCGTCTGGGACCCACACTGACCACGAGCTCCAGAAGGGACGCCCCTGGAGGACACAATGGGGGTTATTTTCAGATCTGAGTGTTTACCTGAGACCCGGGGGCTAGCCAACTGCTGACTAATCAGTATCAGGAAGTTTATGATTTCTTATCAGGACCAATCTCCAGAGACAAACACAAATTTAAACCAAGTTTTAAAATTCTTTTCAACTTCTCTTAAAGGTTGCTAAGTTAAGGCCCGTCAAGGCTTCTCTGCACCCACACCAGAGCCAAGAACGTCTGCCGCTGCCTTCACGTGTTCCTTAATCACGCCGTGAGACAGCCACTGACGACGCTTCAGAAGCGACCTTCCCTGGGCAGGGCCGTGACTCACGAGAACACGTACGTCTGCGGCAAGTCAACCATTTCGGCTTTTCGGAACTGAAGTTAAAAACGATGCTGCCACCCAGAGCCGATAACCTCGAATCTCACCGTTCTCTTGGTTGTGGTGGGGCCACCTCCCTCCCAGAGGAACTGCCAACATACTGTTAAACCGAGAGAGGGCTCAAACACGGTCCAGTATGGTTCTGCTTCTGTTAATAACGGTGCCTGCATTCAACATCAACAGGGGTGACTTCCGGGGGGGGAGAACTACAGGAAACTTTTCTTCTCTCTGTTTCAGAATTAACCGTAAACGTGTAACTTTCTCAGAGGGCAGAAAGCTGCAAGCAGGTGGGACCTTCCGAGAAAAGGAACAGAGTGGGGACCAAGGCCCATCCCTCTGTGCGGACGAGCCCAGAGCACGGCAGGGGCCCGCCAGGGCTGACCATGCCCGCCCGACGCCGGGCCACTGCCGGCTGACTGGGAGGATCCCTGCCTGCTCAGAACTACGGGAGCTCGGCACCTGCTCCCGCACTGCCGCCGACAGCAGCAAGGGGCTGGAGGCCTCCAGCCGGGACCCTACCAGCCTGGGCCTTCAGGGTCTGGGGACCGAGCGTGTCGGGGGTTAACGGCCGCAAAGGTTTAGTCCCGTGCGTCACCCTCCAGCATAGGAGCTGGTACACGGGCAGAGGTGTGGGGCCTCTGGGACTCCGTCACGTATTAAGCCCACGCTTCTCCACTGAAGAGTCCCTGCAGAGGTTAACATCCGCCCCCTCCTGTGAAAGATGCACAAGCCCGCGCAGCCAGGAGGCAGAGGGACGCTGTGCGCCCTGGACAGACAGACTACGGTAAAGAGGTCGCTATTTCCCACGGAGCTGGACCCGCCATCCCTCGAAGACTCGCCGCGTGAGTCCCTGTGGCACCGCCCCCAAATGCCACGAGAACCACGAAGGAACCCAGCAGCACAGGCTCCACCACAGGTGAGCTTAACACCCACCTGAACTAAAAGGAAGCGTGGACTGAACTCCAAAACTATGTGTCGGAACCTTAACTCTTACACCTATGGATACAACCCCATCTGGAAAGCGTCTTCTCTGTTATGTTAACGAGGCGTGCCAGTGTGGGGGCGTGTCCTGAACCTAACCACAGGGATCTGCAGACAGACACCACATGCGGACCGCCTGCAAACAGAGGCACACCGGGGACTACCTTAAATTCACACAGCCAGGGCCCGGTTTGGACCTCTAGTCTCCAGAACTGTGAGAACACACATTCCTCTTGGTTAAGGCCACCCATTTGTGGTTACTTGTGGTACAGCAGCAGACTGCAACCGGAACTGAGACCCTGCGCTAGAATAAAATGAAGCCAAGGCTGGTGATCTTATAAAACACCGGTCCACCGGATGACACCAAAGTGAAGGACCTCTGTCCATCGAGACAGCACTCAGCACTGAGAACGGGCAGCAAGCCATACAGGCAGACATCTGTGATGCACATATCCCAAGGGTTTGCCCCCAGAATAAACACAGAAATCCTAAAATATAAACATATATATACACATATATATGTGTATATATATAGGATTTGCTCCCAGAATAAGTACTGATATCCTAAAACATACATATACACATATACATACATACATATATACATACACGTATATATATACATATATATGACCAACCCAATTAAAAAGTGGGCAAAAAGGTCTGAACAGGCATTTCATTTCACAAGAGAATTATCAAAAGGCCTGTGACCTGAAAAGGTGCCGAGCATCATTAGACACCGGGAATGCAATTAAAGCCACAATGAGGTACCACTGCACGCCCGCCAGTGGGCTGAATTGTGATGATGAGCACCCCACGTGCTGGCAGGACAGGCAGCAGCTGGAACGCTCACACTGCATGGGGCCACAGGCCAGCACAGCCACTCTGGGAACAAAGCCTGGCAGAGCCTCCTATGCCAAACGCCAGGGCCTGCCAGGACCAGCAGCCCCACCCCGAAGTGCACACCCAGGAGGGGACGAGAATGCTGGCAGCAGCCTGGACTGGCCCAGACGCCCACCAGCAGCAGATGGACAGACAACGGTGGACACTGTGAGAACAGCCCGTGGAAGCAGCACCCCACACAGTTCTCTGACATGACGCTGGATGACGTCAGGTAGGACAGTCAGGAGTCCTTCACACGAAGGTCCAGAACAGGCAGGACTAACCTATGATGGGACGTCAGGACAGTGGGTACCCATGGGGTCCAGACAAGACAGGGCATGAAGGAACCCTCTGCGGGTGCTCCAGATATTTTGATCTGAATGGTGATTACCTAGTGGCTAAGCGCTCGACTACTATCTAAAGGTTGGTGGTTCAAACCCACCTCGTAGCTCTGGGGGGAAGGACCTGGCAATCTGCTTCCATAAAGATAACAGCCAAGAAAACCTCATGGGACAGTTCCACTCCGTCTGTCATATGGGGTCGCTATAAGTCGGAATCAACTCGACGGCACCCAACAAGAATACGTATGTAACAATTCACTGAATATATGTACGTGTGATATACACACACACACTCAGCACCCCTCAAACTCAACACCCCCAACACTACATAAAAACAAGTTCTATACACCAAAACTATAGTCTGTACACAGAAAGAGAGGTGCCTTAAGACATGTGTATTTCACTTGAAGTTATACTTCAGTTTAAAAACACCTTAATAGAAGTTAACGCTCTAAACACCACAAGGTCCCCAGTCCGGAAGCTGTCTCTGTGGAACAGTTAGGAAGTGAAGGCTGCAGGGAGAAGGTGGCGTAGAGAAGCCTTCCGAGTGTGAGGCCAGCACCAAGTGAAGGGCCGGCTGGGCGGATACGGTAGGAAGTGGCATGAGGAACACATCAGATTAGAACGGAACCACACCCACACCATACACTCGAACCATCCACACACAACCAGATACCCTACTCAACACATACACACACCCCACCCAACACACACACACACACCCCACCCAACACATACACACCCCAATATCACCCCACACTCTAATCCACCCCGACTGCATAAAAATGTGTTCCACGGAGCAAAGGACACTACAAACTATTTTAAAAGGCAAACTAGGAAACAATGTGGATCTCACAAAGGACAAATTTCCCTAATAAAAGAATGCCTGTAGAATCAACCACACTCAAGTGGGAGACCCATAAGAAAAAGGTAAGAGGTGTCTACTCGTGTTTCCTTCCAAACAGGGATCCCTAACGGTGCTTGGCTGCTAACCAAAAGGTTGGCCAAAAAAAAAAAAAAAAAAAAAAAAATCCACCCAGAGGTGCCTTGGAAGAAAGTCCTGGCAATCCACTTGTGAAAGGTCAGTCATTGAAAACCCTATGGAGAATGGTTCTACACTGACACACACGAGTGAAGGTCAACTCCACGTATCCTGGGTAGTCTCAGCACATTCCAACGCAGCTGAACTGGTTAACCTGGAGAAACTGGAACTCTTACTGGATCCACAAAGAAGTTCAAAGGGTGTCTTGGAGCCCTGGGAATTGTATGCAAAATTATGTGCACATTGCATACTTTTTCCCTGGGGAAAGAGGTTGCAGTTTTCAAATTCTCAAAATGATCAGTGTTGTTCTGGCAAAGCTTGCTTGCTTGCTCTGTATCCTGCATCCAGCTCGTCATCATCTGACCTCCAGTTCTTGGGACTTGAGCCAGCTGCCCACCATCTTACCTGCCAATCTTGGATTCATCTGCCTCTGCAGCTGGTAAGCCAGCAGCCTGCCATCTGACCTGCCCATCTTGGGTTCGTCAGCCCCTGCAGGTATGTGAGTTAGGAGAAGCCTCCAGCCTCACCCATGGATTTGCCAGCCTCTACAACCGTGCGAGCCATTTTATTGAGATAAATCTCTCTAACAGGTCCTTGATTTTCCCCTTGCCACCCCCTCCTCTCCTCTCCCTCACTTCCTGGTCAGATTCAAGGCATTTCCTTCCACCTGCTGCTCTCACCCCGACCTGATCTCCAGGATTCTCCCTTCCGCCTGCTGCTCTCACCCCGACCTGATCTCCAGGATTCTCCCTT